TGATAATATTATATTATTTATTAATTAATTGTAAACAATATTTTATATTTGATAAAATAAAAAAAATTAAAATTTACCTCAAAATTTTACATTAATAATATGATAATATTATACTATTTATTAATTAATTGTAAACAATATTTTATATTTGATAACTCAAAATTTACATTATTAATATGATAATATTATATTATTTATTAATTAATTGTAAACAATATTTTATATTTGATAAAATAAAAAAAATTAAAATTTACCTCAAAATTTTACATTAATAATATGATAATATTATACTATTTATTAATTAATTGTAAACAATATTTTATATTTGTTAAAATAAAAAAATTAAAATTTACCTCAAAATTTCACATTAATAATATGATAATATTATATTATTTATTAATTAATTGTAAACAATATTTTATATTTGATAAAATAAAAAAAAACTAAAATTGTTTTTAAAAATTCTTACAATATGATAATGTTATGTTATTAATTAATTCTAAATTTATATATTTTAATATTTGCTGTTGTTTTTAAATTGTTACCATTAAATATATCTTTATTACACTAAAAAATTCATCCAACTTTTAAAATCAATTTGATACTTTAAAAAAAAAGTTTATATAAAAGCAAGAAAAAAAAAAATTCTCATTCGATATTTATATTTTAATATTACAACAATTTCTGATAGTTAAAACAAAAAAAAAAAAATTTAAAATAATTGTTGTAAATGAAAATTCTTTGTTTAGTTTAGAAATAAATTAAGTTTTAATTTGACAGTTTTAAAGATTATAAAATTACAAATATAACTTTTAATATTAACAAATTATTATTATTCTAATTATTTTATTAAAATATACCAGCTTGTTGTTTGAGTGTAAATTTTGCTAAATGTTCATCAAATTGTTCCTTCTTTTCATTTAATTCATTTAATTCTTTCTGTTTCATCCGATATTCTTCCAATAATTTCTCATTTTCCTTTTTCAGTTCTTCATATGCATCATAAATTGTTGGATTCTAAGTGTTAATTAAAATTAATTTAAAATTTGTTCAATTTGTTATGCAAAATTTAAATGCTAAATAAATTTTCAAAGTTAATAATTTAAAAAGAAAAAAAACAAAAAAAAAAATATTTTAAATACCATTGAATGAAATTTAGCATTATTTTGTGCTTTCTGTTCCTCAATTTTATTTTCAATTAAACGTATTTCATCTTCTTTCATACGTCGATTTTCAACTAAATCAGCTAAATTCTTTTCGGCATTATTACGTTGTTTATGTAATTTCGATAATTCATTTTCAATTTCATGCAATTCCGAATTTGTATTAATCAAATCCATTATCTGCAATTTATTCATTTCAAATTATAAACACTAAAATTAAAATTAAAGATTTCAAAAAAAAAAAAGAAGCAAAATAATTAAACTATTTTAATCAAAGAATATAATTGTTTAAAAAAAGTGTAGGAATAAAACTATTTGATTAACTCCTTTTTAATCATTTTTTTTTTTGTTTTCTAATTATTAAAATAATTTCGAACAAATATTTTTCTACAATTTAAATATTACTAAAAAAAAAAAAATACATAAAGATTTTATTGCAATTTATTCTTTGGTAAAAAAAAAGAAATGAATTATTGATTGATTTTTTGAATTTTTTAATTTTTATATATCGAACCTCTAACTTTTTAATATTTATCGTTTAGTAAATAATTTTTTTTTAATTTTAAAATATAAAACTATTAAGATTTTACTGTTTACTGCTTACTTTATTACAATCTAGTAAACGTCCCTGCAATGTTCGAATTATATTTGCCTCTTCTTCTGCCCTAAAAATGATATATAATTAATATAAAATTATGATTAAAACTATTATCAAATAGATTTAATCAATCAGAATGTATTATTTATGATTGATCCTATGATAATATGATAATAATGTCAAAAAATATTTATAAAATGCTCAAAAATTGTTTATCACTAATTTTTGAAAGCATTTTTTTTTTCAAACGATTACTTTTTACATATAATATTTAAAAAAAAAAAAAAGGAAAAATAAATTACTGTTTGTTTCATCAATTCTTAATTTAAATTTCGAAAAACATTTTTATTTTTAATTTAAATACATGTATATAAAAAAAAAACAAAATAATAAATTATTGATAAATTTTAATTTTTACACTTTTTATTATTATTATTATTATTATTATTATTAAATGGAAATTATTTCTACTTGTTTTTTTTCCTCTTTTTTTAAATTTTTTTTTTTAAATAGTAAATATTTTACTTTTTTTCATAAATCAATAAATTTTGTCGATCACGTTCACCTCTGTTTAAATCATCACGTAATTTATCAATTTCATTCATTAAATTATTCATTTGTGCTCGAAATAATGACATATAGTAACTTTTATCGATCACAAAACGTCCACCTATATTCGTGAAAGAATAATAAATTTTTTAAAAATTTTCAAAATTTAAATATTAAATTTGAATTTTATTTTATATTTTTTTTGTTAGTCTTTTTTTCATTTTTTTTTTTTTTTGAATGAAAAAGTAGGAAAAGAAATTTTCTTTCATTTATTTTTCACTTATACATTTCATTCATTCATTTTTTTTTTTTCTAAATTGAAAATTATGCAAAAAAAGAAAATTTCAACTTCCAATTCTGGTTGCTGTTTTAACACCAGTTAATCCTTGCTGTGTTACAGGTCGCATTGTGGTACCACGTGGTGCTGCTTGAATTGTACCTGTTGGTAATCTACCATTTTGACCTGTACCCAAACGATTTCGAACACTTTCGTTACGCTACAATTCAAAATTTATTCCATTTGTAAAATTCTAAAAAAAAAAAAAAAAAAAGAAAAATCAATGAGTAAAAATTTTAAATTAAAAAGAAAAAACAAATTTATATTTATGCAAATTATAATAAATTAAAAAAATATATACCATAGCAGTATTCAATCGTGTTGTTGGAATAGAACTAATTTGACTCACTGCAATAATTTTTATGAAATTTTTTTAAATTAACAATTAATACTAATTGATTAGCATTATCGATTTTCTATCATTGAAGTTAATATTATCATTATATCACATTTTTATAGTATTATTCTGATTAAAATTATCATCAAAATTTGTTAACGTATGTTGAATAAAATTTGCAATGATTTATTAAAATTTGAATTTTATTACAAATTATGTACTCATTTACTGTTTTAATGCATTAATTTTAATTTGAATTACATATTTTAATACTCATTTACCTTTCATGCAATGATTATTTGAATGAAAAACAAAAAATTTTTTATGCTAAATTTTTATAATATTAAAAATTGTTGATAATAAAACAAAAACACACACACACAAAAAAAAAAAACAAACACGTTTCATGGATAAATTCACTTCAAATCACGTTTCAATAAATTCGTTGCACGTGAAAAAAACACGTATAATATATTGATAAATAAGCAATTCTTTTGCTTTTACTTCATTTCTGTTTGATAAATTTTAATAGTATTTATCATTTTTATAAGATTACGCTTAAATTTTTACAACTTATACAAGCTTAGAATTTTATACATGAAATCATAATTAATTAAATAATGGAATCATAATCATTTTAATAATTAATTTAATATTTTGTAAAGTAAATGAAGTATATATGATAGATGAATTTTTGCATTAATTTAAATTTGTTATTTAGTAAGTAATTTCAAAAAATGCTGCAAATCAAAAATGCATTTTCTTTCTCCTTTTTCTCTCAAAGAAATCAATTAATTGTGCATAGTTTTATTAATAAAGCAATTTTATAATTTGATTTTAAGATTTTAATTTTTTAAAAAAACTGAATCTTAAATGAGTTATCTTGATTAATTTTTTTTTTCTTTTTAAGGATGAAAGAAATTTCAAACAAAAAATTCAAATAAAAATTTACATACTAAAATAACTAATTGAATTTTTTGTAAATATCTTTAGAAAAATGGAAAAGAAACACACATCTAGTGTTTAAGAATGGATTATTGCTTTTTTTTTTCTCGAAAACTCTAAAAGTGCTTTTTTTTTAAATTTTAATAATTATTAAAAAAAAAAGGAGAAAATTCTTACTAATAATGAATATTCAAAAATTAAAAAAAAAAAATTAACACTTTTTGTTATTAACACTTTTCTTTTTCTCTAATAATAAAAAAATAAAAATGAAAGACAAGAAAAAAAAGAAGAGAGAAAAACGATCGTACTTGTTCGTAACGGAGTAACTGATCCGGTTGATTCCGGTACCATTGCAGCACGGCTAACTGGTCGTTCCATAACATCCACAAAATAATGTAAGCAATTAATTAATTAATTTATAGTGATGACATTAGCATATTGTCATCAAAAATTAATTTAGGAAAAAAAAGAGAGTAATATAAATTTACCGTATTGAATAGCATTTGCAGTCGATGATGGTTTACGAAGCCTAGCTGAAGTGGCACGTGTACCGGCGGAAGTTTTTGGACGAGCAGTGGTTGGCCGTGATGTCATTTACTAATTTATTAATTAATGAGAAGTAGTTGGCCAAGATGTCATTTACTAATTAATTCATTAATGAGAAGTAGTTGGCCAAGATGTCGTTTACTAATTAATTAATTAACGAAAAGTAGTTGGCCAAGATGTCGTTTACTAATTAATTCATTAATAAGAAGTAGTTGGCCAAGATGTCATTTACTAATTAATTAATTAAAGAGAAGTATTTGGCTGAGATGTCATTTATTAGTCAATGAATTATTTAACTAAAATTAAGTTGATTTTTTGAATGATAATAATTTTATGAGTTATTTAAAAATGAAATTTTAATAAAATCATGAAACTTAATTTCGGTTAATGATAAATGAAAATGATAAATTTTTATGATAGAAAATTTGTAATGCTTAAATTTGAAATCAATTTTAGCTTTAGAAATAATGCAAAGGAATTGAAAAATGGATGAATAACTATCGGTTACCATGGAAACTAATTGCTTCAAATAATTATTATATGAAACTGAAATATTTTCATTTCCTGAAAATATTCAATGATTGTTATAAACTGCTTTTGGCTTTTTTTTAAAAAAAATTTATTTAATTGATCAATAATTCAAATTAGATAATATATAATTTTATATATGACTCATTTCTGAAAAAAAAAATCAAGAAAAGAATTTTTAATTAAATTTAAAAAATTAAATTATATTTAAATTAGTAATAAATATGGAATGAAGTGCAACTCGATAATATTATTATTACCAAATGTACAAAGAATAAGATTTCTTCAAAAAAAAAAAAAAAAATAAACTTAGTTTTAAAAATTAAAAAAAGGAAAATTTGATGAAAGTAATTTATTAAGTTTTATGTGACAAAATAGCAAAAACAAATAAAATTTGCTAAATTAACTAATGTGTTACTTAAAAATAAAAGTAATTTAAGGCAGTAATTTTCTTTCTTTTATAAATTAAAATCAAATTAATTAAAATGAGCAAAAAAAAAATTAAGAACAAAAAAAAAAGCCTTTTTTTATTTATTTATAAATTGTGTGTAATGAAAAAGAAATTAATTGTTTAAAATTCATTTTTTTTTTTTATTAAATTTTCATTCTCCATTCAAAAATGCATTTTTAATTTAATATATTTGAAATTGTATTACTTTTAGCTTTAAAAGAATTTTAACATTGTTACAATTATCGAACGATAAATGATAAAATTTTATTTTTGTTTAAAAATACAAAAAATATTTTAATTTACAATAATAATGAAAAAGAAAAGGACAAAAGCAAGCAAAATAAGATAAATTCAAAAAAAAAAAAATAAAATAAGATAAATTTATAAATAAATATAAAATGATAAAAACTTTTGATAATAGCAGCACGCTAAGAATTACTAACAAGTAATAATGACAAGAATATATTAATTAGAATTAGATATTAATTAGTAAATTGAATAGAAATCAATGATAATTTTATAATCATAGTTACAACATAAAAATAATTAACAAATTTTACACTAATTAATAAAGAGAGAGGAAAAAAAAAAGTGTTCATAAAATATACAAATTAATTAAAATAGAGGTAAAAAAAAATATTGATAATAATTATAAGTAATGTAAATTTGAAGTAACATATAAATAATGCTATCAGAATAATTTACATATAACTGATAATATCAACAAATGATAATAACCATCGTACTGATAATATCATTAAAATTTCAACAATAATAATAAAAGAAATTAAATTAATTAAACACCTCTAATACTGTAAATTTTGAATGTATATAATTGATTTGAAAGAATTTTTATCTGTGTTAATAAAAATAATAGATTATTTCTTTTTTTTTTCTTTAATTTTTAAATTATACTAAAATTTGAATTTAAATTTTGTTTTTGTATATTTAATGGTATTCCTGATAATGATGAATTAATTGATGAATTATAATGCTCATTTTTCATCAAATTATTTAATAAATTTTCTGCTTTTTTTTTCTTCCTATAATATTCATCATCTTTTAAAATTATTATCCTATTTAATTGAGTACGAATTTCATTTGATTCACTTACAAAACTTTTATTGTATTTCCAATTTTCAATGTAATTATGAGTGCCACATATTGACATATTAAATTTTGTTGATAAAAATGGCAATTTCCATGATGCAAATAAATGTTTATTTAAACGCCTATAAATGAAAAAAACAGTAATAAAATTTATGAATATTTAATTATAAGTTTTTTTTTTTTATATAATTGTTAGAAAATAATTAATTGTAAATAATATTTTAAGTTTTTCTTTTTTTTTAAATCATAAATTTAATTTAGTCTTTTTTGCTATAAGTAATATTTATAAGCATAATTTTTTTCCCTTTTTAAATTGTAATTTTAATTTTCTTTTTTTTTTTCTACTTTTTTGTTATGATTTTTTTTTCCTTCTTGTGTAATTATAACTTCAATTACAAAATAAGAATTTAATTTTTGGTTAGCTAATGAAATTTTAATTTATGAATAAATTTATTTCGTATTAAAAAAGGTAACCGTTTTTGCCATCCATGAAAAATGAAATCTTCTTCAGACCATTTGGAATTGGTAAGCCAACCATCACGTGCCCATGATTTACCCTTGGGTAGAACACTTATTTTTCTTTTCCACTTTTCGTTTGTTTCAAGTTGAGCTCGTACACAAGCTTCGTATATAAATAAATCATTGTAATTTCTAAAATAATATTTTATCATTCATCATTTTACATTTTATTTTTTTTTTTTTATTATTATTTTTGAACATATAATTTTAACAATACCAAAAGTAGAAATAATAAAATTTTATTTCATTAATAGAAATTGTTATAAAAATTATTTCTCATCGATAAAGGTTTGGAATCTCTGAAATATTTTCAAGCCAATTATTTATTCATGCTTTTAATTTAATTTAAAAATGATTCTAAAAAAAAGCCTTGTCAAATTAGAAATAAAAACTAAATTTTAGTTTGATATAAAAAAAAAACACTTAGTTCAATTATTCAAATTATCAATATTAAATTTTGATGATTAAAATAATTAATTGTAATAAGTGAATTTTGCACTCAAAATTTTTACACCAAACAATTCTTATTGCAAATTAAAATTCAACAAGTTTTAAAATTTCAAAGAATTATTACTTTTTTTTTCTGAACTATTAGTAACTAAATTTTCCAGTCATCAAGCTCAAATTGCATTTTTCATTGTCTCAAATTAATTAGCTAATTAATTAAGGTTTTATTAAGAAATAATTAAAAGAAAAAATATATGCATAAAAACTTAGTTTGATATATTCCATAATGGTTCACAATGTTTCACACTTATTGATGCAATGTGTAATAAAACTGTCTAAAATGAAATCTATCAATGTTTATCAAATTTTTTAAATAAAAAATTTAATTCTGAATTTAATTTAATTTAATTGGAAAATGACAGTAAATAATGTTCAAAATTATTTTTCTATGAAATAAATATAAATTATAAAATGTGATAAGTTATCAATGAATTGAAATGAATGATAAATTAAGAAACAATAATGAAACGAGGAATCAGATTTTGATATATTTCAAAAACTAACCTTTGAACTTTATATTTAGTGAGCTGAAAGAATTTTTTAATGAAAAAAGCTTGAATTAAATTTTTGCTTTTTCCTTCTTTTTTTTTGTTGAGAAAATAAAATGGATTTGAAATAGAAATCAATTATTTGACTGATCAATTGAAATAGAAATCAATTATTTGACTGATCAATTGAAATAGAAATCAATTATTTGACTGATTAATTGAAATAGAAATCAATTATTTGACTGATTAATTGAAATAGAAATCAATTATTTGACTGATCAATTGAAATAGAAATCAATTATTTAGCTAATCAATTGAAATAGAAATCAATTATTTGACTGATTAATTGAAATAGAAATCAATTATTTGACTGATCAATTGAAATAGAAATCAATTATTTGACTGATTAATTGAAATAGAAATCAATTATTTGACTGATCAATTGAAATAGAAATCAATTATTTGACTGATCAATTGAAATAGAAATCAATTATTTAGCTAATCAATTGAAATAGAAATCAATTATTTGACTGATTAATTGAAATAGAAATCAATTATTTGACTGATTAATTGAAATAGAAATCAATTATTTGACTGATTAATTGAAATAGAAATCAATTATTTGACTGATTAATTGAAATAGAAATCAATTATTTGACTGATTAATTGAAATAGAAATCAATTATTTAGCTAATCAATTGAAATAGAAATCAATTGTTGAAAAAATAGAATTTTCTTTTCGAAATAATTTTTTTTTATTTCTCATTTTTTTCTCTCTGAAAAAAATCTTTTGCTTTTTCCTGCAAGAATTTTTTTTTCAAATGGAAAATGCTTTCCTGTCAGAAGCATTATTTTTCCATAATGAACAAAAAAAGTAAACAAATAAACAAGCAAAAATTAAAAGTTCTGTTTTTTTTTTTAAAAAAATATATTCCATAAATAAATAAACAAACATGTATAGCAGCATTATCAGATCCATGAAATGAATGTGGTAAACGATAATTATAATTTGCCCACATTCGTAAAAAATTGATAACGAATTTAGTATTCCTAAAATATAATCATTATCATATCATTTAGACATTTAAAATTTAATAAATATGCTTTCTGATAGATATTTTTTGAAATTTCACTACATTTTACCAAAAAACAAATTTAAAAAATTGAAAAAAAAACTACAATCACAACTTTTATCAATGATAACTTTAAAAATATTGTTTTTGATATAAAAAAAAAAAGGAAATAATAAATTTTGAATATTTATATTTGCCTATTATCCTATTACGTTTTTAAAAATTACTTTCTAATTTTAAATAGTAATAAAAAAAAAATATTATTAAAAACTTAACCAATAAAAAAATATGCGCAAAAAAATTGAAAATTTCACTTATACAAAAGCATTATACAAAAAAAAGAAATTTTTTTTTTTAAATAAAATAAAAAATTCTAATTTACTTAGCTAAATAACTTCCAGCCATCACTTCAAAATTCCAAATACGATTATAAAAAATAATGTCTTTATCATCCATAATATATTCCTCAATTCGTTTTTTTGGATTGATTACACCCATATCAGAATCAATAAATAATACATAATCAAAATTATCATTTTCTTGTAAAAATTGCGCTGTTACACAATGTCGTTGAAAGAAAAACTGTAATATTAATTAGAATTAATTAATAAAAATTGTAATATCAATTAAAATTAATTAATAAAAATTACAAATAAACAACGTTGATTATTTTATAAAAAATATTGAATTTATTCATATCAAATTATACTTATAATTTAGAAAATATATCAAAATATAAAGAATTATAAGAAAATAAATTTAGAAATTATCAAAAAAATATATATATAAAAGTAAAATGCAAAAAAAAAAAAGGAAATAAAAAAGAAAACCAATAAATAATCTAAATTATAGTTAGCAAACTTTTCAAAATTCAATTTTTTTTTTTTTGTAATTATAGAGAAATTAAAAAATAAAATAGAAAAAAAAAATGCGAGAATATGATAATTATTTGAAATATTTACCTCATTTTGTGGACAAAGTAATTTTAATGTATCATTTTGTGATATATCGATTATCACCCATTCATATCGCTGATAAATGCAATAACATTCGAATGTTTCCATTGCTAATTGATAATCGTTAATATTAGTAAAATCTTTTAATATTGTCAATACTGCTAATTTAATCTCTGCTACTTGTGACCCTAAATTTTTATTATAATAATTAATTAATTTATGCATTATAGGAGCATTTTTTTAATTTGTCAATTTTAATAAATTCATGCCTAAAATAATAATTATAGATTAAATTTAAAAATAGTTAAAATTTAGGAAATGAAATATTAAAATTGTGATTGCCTTCTTCTTCCGCTGCAAACAGTTTTCAAAATTGGAAATTTTCAAATTTTAATTTGAATGTTATTTGTAAATAAAATTGAAAATTATCAGTATTAGTGTTAAATCACAGTAAAATATTTCAATCATTTAACTTTAAAAATAGCTAAATGTATTTAGAATATTTATTAAAGGATTAATAAAAAAAAAATATTAAATTGTTGTCAAAATGTTTTCCAAATATATAATTCTACATAAATTTTAATAATCATTCTAAATGAATTGCAAAGAAACAACGAATAAAAATAAAAATTTTAATAAATTTTTATTTTTATTCGTTTTTTTTTTATTGTTTTATTTGATAAAATTTTTTCTCTTTTTATTAGGATTACAATTATTTATGTTTTAAAATAAAATTAAAAAAAAAATTTTTTTTTAAAACTTTTTTTAACCTTTTCGTGTCCATAAAAGAAATATTAGAAAGAAAATGAATAACACAAAAATATGAATGTATCGATGAATAAGAGTGAGTCCACGTAAAAAAAGTACCATATGAGAATTTGATTTTTTTTTTTTTTTAAGCAAAATGACAGATTGATGTCCTTTATCTAAAACGAAACAGATAACTGATAAAATATTTAGTGATCAAAAAAAAAAAAACTTTATCAGTTATCTTTTTAAATGTAAATAGCAATAATAAGCTGAATCAGTAAATTAAAAAAAAAGCATTTAAAAATTAGTTATTATCGTTATTTATCATTTCAATCAATAATTTACTAATACTATTCCATTACTAATTAAACTTTAGATCAAAATTTCAATGGTCAATTCTTTTTGATCTTTACTTCCTTTTACCTATATTATCTGTTCTCTTTCGCTTTTTTCAATAAATTTTGAAAAAAAAAAAAAGTAAAAAGATGGAAATTGAAAAAGTTGAAAATTTTATGCGAAAGACGAAAAATTGACAGGAAATTAAATTTTAATTTAACGCTTATAACATCGAAATTATGAAAACAAAATTTTAATGTAAAAAAAAAAAGTTACATTTATCAAATTCATTCATTTCTATTAGTAACTAAAATAAAGTTATTATATAGCAAATGAAAAAAGAGAAGCAAAAATAAACAAAAAAAAAAAAAAAGTTGCTTAAATGGTAAAAAAAAATTGAAATTATCGACATTTGCTGCTAATTTTTCTTCACAAATTAATTTAATCAAAAAAAAAAAAATCAAATTAATTTAACCTTTTTGATTTCGAAATAACAAACAATTAAATTTCAGTCGAAATTCATCGCAATGTGATTTACTTAGCTCATCTGTTGATAAGTGGCTTACTAATTTTGATCATTTTAAAATGTTATTGTCAATATATCGTTATACTGTCGGCGATTTTATTTTTTTCTTTTTTTTTTTTTAAATGACTCTTTAAAACTGCTAAACATCTGTTAGTTCTATTATTCAGAAAAATAAAAAAAAAAAAGGAATTACAGAAAATTTTATTGAAAGTTTAATTTTGCTTAAATTAACGAATTACTAATTCACTGTAAACTTTCACCTTTCTATTATAATATTTAATATGTTATCATAATATATAAGAAAGGTTTTTTTTAGTTTAATTTACTCAATTCAAAAAAAAATGAAGCTGAAAATTTTTTAAATTATCAAAATGAACACTTCACGTAAACTTAAATAACAGAAATTTTAATTATCAATCATTTACTAAACTACAAGAGAAAATTGTAGCTGTCATAAAATGAAACTGTCAAAAAGAAAGTTTAAAACATTTTTTTTCTATCTTAAGAGATTTTTTGAATATTAATGTTACTTAATGAAAAAAAAAAAGTGAAACAAATAAATACAATCATTATGGTATAAATAGCTCAACTAATTAAATAATTAATTAAATAATAATGAACTAATAAAATTTCTCTTTCAAATATCTTTTTTCCTAATGCTTAAAATTCCAATAACAATAAAAAAAATCCATGTGAGAAAGAAACATACATATATATTTCATTATCAAACATTTATTCTACTTCTCAAAGTTTTCTTATCAATTTTGTTCTTGAATTATATTTATATAAATATAAACAATGAATGTTTAAATTAATAAACTTTCATGTTTCAGTTTTTTAATTCTTTTTTTTTTCGTCCGATCGCTTTTTTTTTCACGGGCATAAAAAAGAAAGTTTGTTTAGTTTTGATAAAAATTTGACGATTACTTGCAGTCCATATGGTTTGCATTTTTCATCCTTTTTATTTGTAAACGATTTAATGATCTCAACAAAATACTCTTTTTCGCTTTCATTTCTCTATCACATTTACTCTCTTTAATATGCCATCATTGGACAAATAATTAATAATAATATTAATCAACAATAATAATAATTAATAATGATAATAATAATAGTAATAATCTTTTTGTAATAATCTTTTCGAGAAAAGAAAATTTTCAAAGCTAAAATTAAATATTCGTCAAAAAGTTACACTTACATACGCATAACAAACATAATTGAATGAAAAATTTTGTAGGAGAAATGGTAATTTGATATTCATACATTTAAATTATATAATATAAACTACAACAATTTAATTAAATTAAACTTTTTATTATTTTATATATAATTAATTTATTATTATATATAATATAATAGAAACTACAACAATTTAATTAAATTAAACTTTTTTTTATTATTATATATATAATTAATTTATTATTATATATAATATAATAGAAACTACAACAATTTAATTAATTTAATTGAAAAAAAAAGGGAATGACATTTGATACAGAACCGATCAGTTGCATACTACATGCTAGCATTATTCTAAGCGTTTCATAGCAATTCGTTGAGGACAGCCCTTCTTATGGGGAAAAGAGCTTGCGTACCCTTATGTGCCCCCTTTGAAGTTGCAAACTATGCTGGCAATGGCATATACTTCCGGTAGGATTTCTTAAAATAGAAAGATTTCAATTTGAAGGTTTAAATCAAATGTGTGAATGGGTAGGATGGCATTATTAGCTTTCGGGCAACCAAGCTAGAAGAATTCAGTCTGTCAACTCTGACTTCAAAACTGGGCAAATGATGCTATCCGTCCAAGAAAATCTACGATCCGAGGATTTTACTGCCATCCTCCAAGTTTGCTTGGTCTAAGAGATTAGAGGTTTATCTTCACGATCCGATTAGCTAACCATGGTTAACCGACATCTTTTGCTAGATAATAAAATATGGGACCATTTTGCACATACACTCTAAAACTCACAAATACTCGAAGGATATACCACTGTCAGAAAGACTTATAGCGACAGGTGAGGCAAGAAGCGGCAGGTGAAAATTACAGATCTTTCATGTAAGCGGTACAGGACTTTGTTGCTTGACATCGATCAGGAGATGGCAGTCTTGTTTGACAACATCTTGAATTATCAAACAGCCTCTTTTACACTACTTATTCCATTCCACACAAAAAAGGTCCGGAAGAGGTAGCCTTATCAGGTTTATCTTCACGTTCGATCTGATTAGCTGACTGTGGTTAACCGGTTCTTTTTATTACGGTCAAACCAAAACAAAGGAAAAAGCATATAGGTGCACCCAAAAATGTTTCCAAACTGATTGTTGCAGGTTGAAACATGAAACTGCGCTCGCACTGCAAATAATGGTTGTCGCCAATGTCCTTCTACTCCTATTGTTCATTACTACATGATGACATTGCTGTTCACAGTGAATTCGTTGTATCAAAAGGTAACCACAAAGTATGCTCTTCTGGTCGGACAAACAGGAAACAGAATTTTACCCTTAAGGAATTAGTTTCATGATTAAAAAGTAAATCGATTTCAAGCTTATTCATTTTCCAATAGAACATTTGTAATCTCTTTATCTTTTTTATATCTTCCATCAACACTAAATAGAAACAAGTGGTAGGTCAACAAATAATAAAAAATTCAATCAGTTACGGACAACCACAAAGTTTATGAAATTCTGAAAGTGGCATGTGTGTGTTCTTTTCAGCTTCTGAAGTTGCTTTCTGCTTAACTGGATAAATCCTTCATTTTAAGTCAATAATCGGAACACTTCAATGTTTCTTTAATGCCCATCTTCGATTAAATACTGCAAAAGTTGAGTACATCATTTAACAATTAGTAAAAACTGAACTGGATGAATCGAAAGACTATGCAGAAGATGAAATTTGGTATTGATGGAATTTCATTTGAAATCTGAAAGAATGGGCACAAAATACAACATACTAAATTCTACGAATTTATTGTGAACTATTTGAGAACAAAATGAATCATCCTTATTCTGAATATGAAGGAAGAAAGAACCGACTATTCGACATATTTGCTCTATTTGTACCTGAAAAATTTTTGTGAAAATATTCCAGGATAGACTAGGATTCACTAAAAAAAGATATTTGTTCTCAAACGATTGCAAGAAAAATGCACCTAACGAAACAAAGACTCTATGTGACATTCGTTGACCTCATCGACCTGACCGAAGAAGCATTTCACATCATCAAATGGCTTATAGCAATATAAAATCATCTTACATGATCCATAATCGTGATCATCTCCACATGATCCTCATCGAGATCATCCCTATATGATCCTCATCGAGATCAATCAGATTTGGCGATAAGCTCTCTTCCCGACAATCACAATATATTCTCGCATCACTTCAGCATTATGCTGCAAATGATCACAACAGACTTCAATTAAGGAAATACTACTTACACTCAATATCGCAACCGATGAAAACTTATTCAGTGTTAGGCGACTGAAAACTCACATTAAAATTTTAAATGTAATTTTCGAAAATTGCTTTTTGTGACGATGTCGCCTTCATTGTTATCTCCAGCTATAGCATTATACTTTATCGAAAATGCAAAACTTTCTGGATTGAATCAGCTTAAAATGACAGAAATTCTAAATCAGTTCCCAACACAAAGCAAATATCATTATTACAACACGCGCAATTAAACTTACATCAATTCAGTATTTTACCTCTCCAAGAAGCATCATTTGCTAAAATCGACAAGGAGATTGGTGACAGATTAGCAAAGATATTTAGAAAAGTTCATAATTCAAAAAAAGTTCAAAAAAAGACAGGAATTATAAACACCTGAAGAAAAATACTAAGCATCTAAACAGCCACCATATTAACTATTCTTCAGTATAATCTAAAATATTCTCGTCATCGGCGACATCATTGAATGATTCGAACCATTCTAACTTTACAATGTAAAAATTAGTAATATTTGCAATTAGTAATGATTTCAATTGCTTTTTGATTATAAAATTAATTTTAGTTATAAATTTAGATATGAATCATTAAGAAAATTCCATAAATTCTAAGAGTTTTTGTTAAATTAATGCTGGGAAAATTCTTAAACATGCTAAAATCTGTTTTAATTAATACATGATATTTATTAATATCGCTGCTGAAAGATTGTTTAAAACTTAATTATTAAAGTTTATCTTATTATTTATGATGTCAAATGACCACAATGTACGTGACCAGTTCCACACTATATATATAAAATATTCAGCTAAGTTCTAATTTTCCATTTTTTTTTAAATGAATTGATTTTTTTAAATAGTTTCTACACTTAATTAAAATGAAATTTGATAACACTAAATTTATTTCCTAGTCTAATATACAAAAACTCTTACAAATTATAAGTTTTTCACAAAAATCAATTTTTAAATTTGAAAAAAAGCCTAAGCCTAAGCCTAAGCCTAAAGTTTGTTTTATTATTTAAGTTGTCAAATAACCACACTGCATATGACCAGTTCCCGTACAGTGCATATAAAACAATTAATTAAGTTGAAAATATCTATTGTTTTAATGAATTGATATTTTTAAATAGTTTTAACACTTAATTAAAATAAAATTTGATAATATTAGAACTTTTTTCCTTGTTTAAAATGCAAAAACTTTTACAAATTGTGTAATTTTCATAAAAACAATATTTAATTTTGAAATAAAAATTAATTTAACTCGCAAAAATGAATTAAAACTATGATCAATTAAAAATTTTATTAATTTCGCTGCTGAAATATTGCTCAAAACTTATTTATTAAAGTTTATTTTATTATTGTGAGCTGTCAAATGACCACACCCTAATGACCAATTCTTGTACAATGCATATGAAATAATTAATTAAGTTGAAAATAAATTTTTTTTTAATGAATTACTATTCCTTAAAAGTTTTAACAGTTAATTAAAATGAAATTTGTAATACAATTTTTTTTCTCGTCTAATATACGAAAACTCTTACTGATTGTAGGGTTTTCATTAAAATTAATATTTAAATTTGAAATAAAGATTAATTTTAATCATAAAAATGAATTAAAACTATGATTAATTAAACTTTTAATTTCGCTACTGAAATATTGTTTAAAAATTAAATATTAAAGTTTATTTTATTATTTACGATGTCAAATGATTACAATGTATGCGACCGGTTCCCGCGCTGTGTATATAAAATATTCAATTAGGTTCCAATTTCCTGTTTTTTTAATGAATTGATTTTTTAAAATAGTTTTTATACTTAATTAAAATGAAATTTGATAACACTGGGATTTATTTCATAGTTTAATGTATAAAAATTCTTATAGATTATAGGATTTTCATTAAAATTAATATTTAAATTTGAAATAAAAATTAAATTTAATTGTAAAAATGAATTAAATCTATTACAAATTAAAAAATTTATCAATTTTGCTAATCGAATATTTTTCAAAACTTAATTGTTAAAGTTTATTTTGTTATTTATGATGTTAAATGACCATAATATATGTGACCAGTTCCTACGCTGTGTATATAAAATATTCAATTAAGTTCCAATTTCCTGTTTTTTTAATGAATTGATTTTTTTAAATAGTTTTTATACTTAATTAAAATGAAATTTGATAACACTGGGATTTATTTCATAGTTTAATATACAAAAACTTCAACAAATTATAGGATTCTCATAAAAACCAATATTTAAATTTGAAATAAAAATTAATTTTAATTGCAAAAATGAATTAAAACAGTGACTAATTAAAGATTTTATTAATTTCGTTACCCAAGTATTTTTCAAAACTTAATTATTATTTATTTATGTTGATCAAATGACCACAATGTATGTGACCAGTACCTATACAATGCATGCAGATTAATCAGTTAAGTCGAAAATATCTTTTGTTTTTAATGAATTCATATTTTTAAATAGTTTTTGCAATTTGGTAATACTATAATTTATTTCCTAGTCAATATACAAAAATTCTTACAAATTGTATAATTTTCATAAAAATTAATATTTAAATTTCAAATTTATTAAGTTTATTTTAAATATTTAAGCTTTCAGCCTTTCAATGTCGTGTTTGTGTGTCATTTTCAACTATTTTTGATTTTGAGGTAAAACATGAACTAAAATCGAATTTTCATTAAAAAAGTACAAATATTTTAAATTTATCCGGCATTTTGCTTACAGTAATATATTCGAGCAATGATGATCTTTGTTTTGCGGTAAAATTTTTTCTCACAATATTATTTGAATGAGCAATTTCAATTGTAAAAAATAAAATGGAAATGAAAAGGAAAACAAGATAAATTACACCAGATATTCTCTGCACTCTTTGACACGCTACTTATAATTGCTCAGTGGTCATTAAAGTTTGTTCCATCTGCTGTATGGTCGTGTTTTTTGCATGAATTTAAAGATGGCAGCGAATTTTATAGTCTTTTCTTGTATTTTGCTTGCATAATGTCTGCAAATTCCATGCAGGCGTTTCTGATCTTACCGCTATTTATGTGGTGCTGTAAGGGCATATCATCAATTCAAACACTAAAGTGAGTCATGCCAGCATTAACGCTTGCATTTTTTTCTAAATCATTCATTGCAACACTGCTTACAACCATAGACTGCATGCAAAATAAGCTAAAAGTTTGTCGTCTTTTATTTTACCAATATGAATGAATGTGACACGTTTATTTTGATGACAGTAATTGGTTATTGCAGAGATGAATGAGTGGGTGCAGTACATTTTCCTTCAGCCAAATGTTCATATGAATTTTTTTAGCTGTAGGCGCTGCAACTGGCAATGCTGGAGTACTGATGGGATGCTACTGCTCCCGCTGCTATATTATAGTAATTAGTTATTCATGTAATTAATTAATTAGTTATTCATGGTCCAAAATCTCATTATAACTCATAAGATCAAGTTGTAAATCACCATCCTATATTATAACATATTTAGATTAGAAATTAAATGCATTTTACTTTAAAAATGCACGTAAAACGTTGTATTTAACTTTACACTTGTAGTGCATGTCATTCTTTATATTGTAATTTTAAAACGAGTATTCCCTTGAGTTTGTTTAGTAACCTTTACAGAGGCTTATTAAAAACTCGCTTCAGTGGTGGAGTGAAAAGTGCTTTTTCTGACATTGTTTATTAGCATGGATAGTGGTCATAAAACTTGCAAGTTGATTATTGATAGGTTCGCAAGCATCAAATTTGATAAAGAAGTTGAACATAATATTATCATCACACAGCAGCTAATGAACGAAGTAGAAGCTATATTAAACCATGTTGTGCAACCACTAATTTTAGACAAAAAACCACATATAATAATGGTAGGTAAAATCACAGCTATAGGTAACGCTTGCGTATAAATATAATAATATGGGAAAATCCGTCATGCTCGTTACGTATGACACGTCTAGGGCTGCTGCTAGTGAACAGTTAAACATGTGGACAGGACGTTCTGATTGCTTTACTGTTACTTGAGAGTACGGTAACGATTCTGCAAGTGTGACGTATAGAGCTATAAGTCAAGCTATTATAGATAGCATAGATGTTGTTCTGATTGATTGATAGAGCAGGCAGGCTTCAAAGTAATGTTAATGTTATGGAGGACTTATCAAAGATATACAAAACGATAATGAAATTGGAGGCATTGCTCCTCATGATGTTATTTTGGTTCTTGATCCGAATACCACTCAAAATGCTTATAGCTAATTAGAGGCATTTTCACTAGCAAAGAATTTGTTAAAGCGCTATTGAGCTGTGATTAAAGATCTCCTTTAATTCTTTTATGTGGCCAAGCTTAATTATTTCGATATCGTGAGAAGAGTAATTGTCATTTTGAGGCATAATTGCTTTTTTAAATCCTATTTTTTTTGCTTCTTTAGCCTTAGATTAGCATAGGAGATATGTTTAATTTTACCTAAAAGTACAATTTCACGTGCATATTATTGAAGAAGTTGACAGCGATAAACTTACTATGCTTGAAATAAAAGAGAGATCAACCGATGGTTCTTGTATTTTTAATCCTCATACAATATTCAGATACACTTCTTTTTTATGCAGAGACATTTTGCAACGAGCATTTAGCACTGCAATCATAATAGTCAATCGTTTGATATTTCATCCAATTGTTAACACTTGAACTTCCATTAAAACCGGTCAGGAATCCTCAATTGGATGTCAACAACTTTTCTTATGTCGTCTTCATTCAAAAGTGGAATCAGACCGGCCTCCATCAACGGTATTTAAGTGTTTTCTCTTTATGTAAAGGTATAGAAATTATAAGTATGGTCTTAATGAGTAAATAGATCAATCAATTTTATGAATTTCAGTGGGGTGCAAAGGTAGTTGTAGTAGTGGGCAGTGTAATAGGGTTAAGCTATTGTAGGGTTAGGGTTCAATTTTATAGCTCTGTCACTTTTAGTAATAGGTAGAATTGTGGTTCCAGCTTTGCTAGCGCTTGTAGCTATAGGATTGCTACTATCGCAATGACATTAACGAAAAAAAGGGAAGGAAAGACTTAAGTAATAGCAGCAGCAGTAGCAGTAACTGATGATCTCTATGTCATCAGCAAGTGTTGCTATGAGTTTGTCTTGCTGCAACCGCAAATGCTGCTATTCTTCTTGGTGTATTTGCAACTTGGTGGGAAATAGCAGTGGTAGATTATTACTCAAAAGCAATGCTCGAAAAGAATCAAAAGTGGAGATATGAAGAATTATTTGCCTTCTTAAAGAGTTCAAAAGCCTATATAAAAAGTACGCATATGACATTTGCAGATATTTTCAATCCGCAGGAAATTGCAGACCTAATCAGTTACTTGAGTGTCAAATAAACGATAGTCAGGTTGCTATACCAAAATAACATGGATTACAGCATTACTTTGCTTGATGAAAACAGTAAATACATAGCACATTGCGAGCTACAAAGGAAAAAAAAAAAGCTTCCATAGTCTATTTCGGTGGATTTTCATTAAATATGAACGGAATTAGAACAGCTGCTATTTAAAAATTTTGTCAAGAAACTTATGTAGCATTTGTGTTATTTGATTACTTTGGTCATGGTTATTCGTTAGTCAGGTGCTGATTATACTGATTACACGATGAGTGATTGGCAAAAAAATTGTGTTAGAGTAACTCGTAACGGTAAGCAAATAATTATAGGTTCAAGCATGAGACGGTGCCTGATGTTGCTCACTGCTCTCCAACTTTCAGAAAGAATTGCAGCACTAATTGGTGTATCGTCTGCTTCTGACTTTACTGAAGATTTAATATTCTATCAGTTATCCGAAAGCAAAAAGAAGAATTAGATTCTAAAGGAGTAATAGATTTTACTTCTGAGCATTAAATATACAAAATAACTAAAAGCTTGGTATAGAAGATGAAGATGGCAAAAAAAGCTTCTTTTAAATAAAGAGACAATAGGTATATAAACTACCCTGTGCGTTTATTGCACAGTATTATTGATGATGATAATACTATATTCCTTACCAACTTCGTTAAACTTAGTCAAGAAGTTGGGGTGCATCTGATGAAGACAGTAGGTAGAACATAACATGTCTGACAATCGTTCGTTGGAATTTTTACTTCAGATGATTTAGAGAGTTTTTGCTGTGTTTAGGACTCATCATTTTGCAAGGAGATTTCATTTGGGAGAGCGACCAGAACCGAACTAGACGCACTCAGTGCCATAAACTGATTGTCCTACCAACTGAGCCATACCCACTTAGACGGTTTGGGGAGTTTTTGCTGGCTGATTAAAGACTCATAATAATGCAGAGGAGATTTTAGTGAGAGCAACGAGCAGAACCAAGCCACACCCACTCGAATTATTCAGGGAGCCTTTGCTGGCTGTGTAATTGCACATTAATTTAGTACTCATCATAAGGTAGGGAGGATCTTCTTGAAGAGAGTGAGCAGAGCCGAACTAGCCACACTCAGTACCCACAAGCTGATGCTCTACCGACTGAGCCACACCGGCCAAAGCAGTGTGTTTCCCATACATAAGTACAAAAAGTCAATTGATTATTTAAGCAATTGACTATTGACTCCTTTACTTCAGACTGTGTTGTTCCCCTGATAAAACAATTGCAGAAGCAATTCCATTATTGAAAAATCTTTTGGTATTCCTGTGATTGATCAATGCAAGTTAGTCAGAGTTTTAACTAACAGAGATATAAGGTTTATTGATGGTTAAAAAAATCAGAAAAAAGTATAAAAGCTCCCCGAGGTAATGACAAAAGAGAAGTTGGTTACAATACGGGAGCGCTTCAGCAATGAAACTATTGCATGAGAATAGAATAGAAAAGCTTTTGGTCATAGATGAAAACTCCTACTCTATAGATTTGATCACAGTTAAAGACATTGAAAAATACAATAAATACCCTAATTCATGTAAAGATACCTAAGGGCGGTTCAGGAGACATTGCAAAAGCTATTACAGCTGGTGCTATTCTGTGATGATCGATTCAATTTTTACTGGCACTGATGAAAGTACAGGTGTGATTATCATGCATAAAGGTTGAGCATATAAAGATTATCGAGGGGAATGGGATCTATAGTGTAATGAAACAAGGTTATGCTAGCCGCTGTTTCAAGATAAAGACTCAAAACTCAAATTAGTTCTACAAGGAGTGAAAGGAAGTGTGCCATTTAAAGGTCCAGTTTCAAGAGTAATCCATCAGTTAATTGGCGGGTTGCAAGATGCAATGGGGTATACCGGTAATAGAAATATAGAAGAGATGAAAAAAAGTACAGGTTTATGACTGCATCAGGATTGAGAGCTATCCCGTGATATAATGATCACACAGGAAGTTCCAAATTATGCTTATCAAGTGTTCAAATTGTCAATTGATACAGACATCTAATTGTTGGTTGTCAATTAGCACGATAAAAGTAAACAGGGTAAAACAGGAGTTTTTGTACTAGTGCAAAAACCTTTATTGTGGTTAATGCATTATTTCTTTGTTTATGAAGTTGTAATGCGTGTTTGTTGTAATGTATGTAGTTTACATTATATCTGTGCTTACTGTACAACCTGCTACATCTATCACATCATTATCAATTACTCCAACACTATCTTCTATAGGTTAATCATGACCATTGAAGATATTCGGTACAGAAGCTATCTCTTCTGCTTCATTAGAAGAGCATTTTGCATGAGTTAAAATAGCTTTTGCAAAGTAAAGTGATTCCACTTCTTCAACTGCAATTGAATTTACAAATTCGGGCAGTTTTTTTAAACATTTGTCCTTTATGTAAATTTTGTTATGAAGTAAACTCCTTAGATTTTAATAGTAGGCAATCATGCTAATGTGCTAATATTAACTTTATATTAATAAAGACCTAAAATTATTTAAAAAAAAAAATTCTGATGAAATCACGACACAAATTAATATACAAGCAAATACAGATCCAAGTATTACAGCGTTAAGATTACACATTGCATAACTAATTTGTGGTAGATGGAAAAGCTACCAGAATATAAGATCATGAACATATCATATTATAAAATGAGTATACTAACTATATATATGCTATAAAACAGCAATCAGCATAGCGAAATTTATATTTGACTCCATTATTAATAAGATCTTTATTATTATATGAGAAGCATTTATAAATTTATATTGTGTTACGTATAGCTCAGGTTACGTACTGGAATGATACCAATATGTAACCTCAACGGTGTAATACTTGGATTTATACTTGCTTGTATTTTAAGGGCCATTTCTCTTTTTAATCAAGTCGCTACAAGATTGCATAAAAATGCTTTAATTGGGCTAGGAAATATTTATTATGCTAACAAAGAATATAAAAGAGCTTAGGTCTAAAACTAATAAATCTTTTAAAAAATATTCTGGTAACTCTTATATATTAGAAAACTTTCTAACAAAAATTTCACAGCACAATCCTGATCTGGCGTTAAGTGGAATATTGAAATCGTATGATATATAAAAAAATTATGCTCTTTTATTAGCAAAGTTAGATCTGATCTACTTTTCGCCGTACTTCTAGTATTCAAAATTAGTAGGTTTACTAATTTTCACAAAAAAAAAAAAATTTTCTCTTATTTATCACCACAAATTTCTTCTCTAATGGGATTCATCACTTACCTTCTCTGTTGGGTGATAATTTTAACGAATCTATTTACAACGAACGTTTATCATAAGCTAGTGAAAGATAAGTGTTGCAAGTGCAAAAACTCTGATAATAAAAACTTTTTTTTTCGATTTTTGTCACTGCAAAACAACATCAATGTTAGTAAAAAGTTAAAAAGACTTAAATATCTCGAAAATTTTCAACCTGCAAAATTACAATACGGAAAAAAAAAATCGATAAGTATTCAATTTGAGATGCATACAAATTAAATTGAACATATATAAAATGCATAAATTAAGAGAATTAATTTTTAAAAAAGACGAAAAGGGTTGACGCGAAAATGAAAAATTTTAAACTGCTGCATTGTGTATTATGCTAAATGAATTGAAATTCTAAATCTGAAATTTTGAATTTAAAAAAACTACAAAAGTTGAGAAGAAAGTGCATTGAAAATACAACAAAAAATGGATCTCCATGACATTATCATTGATAAAGTCAGCATAATTTCTATTCTAAGTTTTGGAGGATGAAATACAATGAAATGACAGGAAATACTTTGAAAATCAAAAGGTAAAGAACTAAAAAAAGGAAGTGTCTAAAAATATCAATAAAGATAAATTCTTTGACATTTCAAAATCGAAAAAAAAAGAAGTTGTAATCACAAGAAATGGCGCTATGTAACTATGATTATTTTGAGCAATGACATAATTTGTTAATTTATTGTTTTGATATAAGAAGTGCCTTTGTCGTAATTAATTTTCCGCCATATGAATTCTCATTATTATAGCTAAAAAGTTATGATTTGTAACCTTATCATAACATAACAAACAAATTAAATCATTCAATTTCGCATATTTCAAAAGCTTTCCCTATTGTTTAACATCAAAAAAGAGTGAAAATTAAAGAAAAAAATCTCACCTAATTTTAAAATTTACGTAAACAGCATCTAAAGAAAGAAGAAATACAAAAAGAAAGAGAAAGACAGTCATTGTCTCAAACGGATGAATGTAAAAATTTCTTTGTTCTGCGTTGTCAATCAATCATTTCATGCAACCTGTCAATATTTTCCTGAACAAAAAAGAAAAAAAAAAAACGAATGATTCAATTAATTCCATTTCTCTTTCTTCTATGGCAACAAAATCAACAGTATTTCAACATTCATGTCGCTTGATAATTTCCCGTTATCATAATTTATTTAAATGAAGCACAATGTGTGCAAATCAAAATAGATATGTGGCACTGAAATTTTTTGAATCAGCAATGATTTGAAAAGGAATAGTCCTTGGAAAGGAGAATTGTGAGATTTAGAGGGAAGCAAATTTTTCTATTTATGCAAGGGAAGGCTCTCGAGATAGTTAGTATTCACTCTTCCATTGCACTCAAAAAATTAATGAAAAGGATCAACTATTGTTCCATTTTATCTCTAAACAATATAGATTGCTTATAAAAAAAAGTCTCAATAAAATTAAACATCAACAAAATCTTTGATCTTTATTTAACTTACTTATCAACACCTTTTACATTATTCTAAATCAATGTATTTATTGCAAACGAAAGACAAAAACGAGAAACAAAACGAAGTGACCTGTTAATTGTCTCATATTATCTCTATTAAGTGACATTACTTATAAACAAACAGTTCCTCGGAGGTAAACAACTGAATAAGCCAGGAATGGATAAGTCGCCCACATAAACATAAATTCTTTGCAAACACAACGTAAGCGCGTACTCACGCCAAAACTAATAAATTTAGAGACTGAAGAATATTCCAATTCAAAATATTCACGTGGACACGTACTTTCTTGACAAGATATATCTATGAAATGATATCGCGTTGGCTTCATTCAATTCAACCACGTAAGTACTTCATTTCATCGAGTGAGCAAAGAAATACCGTTATTGCATCGCAGAAATAGAAATTGTACGTACAATTCTCTTTACGTATAATTCTTGTCAGATTGAGTTAGAATTTGACGTGAAGTGTTTCTGAAGTTAAATCTAGCTTTTCAGTATGTATTTAAAACGCAAAATGTGGTAGAAACAAAATTTTGATGAGATCAATGCGCTGTTTTTGATGCTAAACGGAAACCTTTTTAAATTGTAATTAAAAAATCTCTGATGTTCTTTCTAGTGAAATCATTTATTTAAACTTGGATAAAAATATTCGGATGATCTTATTATTCTTTTATTGCACATTGGTCAGCACTTTTTTAAAAAATATCGTAAAATTGTTGCAAAAAAATGTTTTTGACAATCGTAAGAATTATGATTTGTTCTTACTTGTAATCAGTTTCTTTCATTATTCCGAAACTTATTAACTTTTGAATTTTCCAATTGCTCAAAAATTTTCTTTTTTAATATCATTTCTGAGTTTCTGATTTAAAAAAGCGCTTTTTCTTCATCCTTTGTTTCCAGAAAATAATCCAAAATGAATTAAAAGGAATGAGTATTAGTGGAACGAAAAGTAAACAGTTAAAAAAAAAACGGATGTCTGGTAGCTCAGAACCAACGAATACGCATTCACAGATTCGGTTTTCTGACTGTGAATGATTTAGATATGTGGTAATTATGAATTTGACTCATTAGGATAACGTATCTATGGATAATAAGAATTTGTAGGGTTGTTTTCGTGTGACAAGCATGGTTTATTCAAATAAGAAAAAGAAATGAATGAGAACAAAAATTCACGATATTTTCTTTCTTTTTTTTTTACATATTACGACCTTTTTTAAAAAGAATTATGGATGTGTCTGATCAGCAAAAAGCTTGCATACTACTTTTTGCTGAAATTATTTTACATAAGTTTGCAAATAATATAATCAACTAAAAATTAAAAAAAAAAAAAAATGTTGAGGAATGTAAATCACTGTTACCAGATTTAGCTATCATAAAAAGGAAACATCCCGGAATTTCATTACCTTTAAATGGTTAATCGAAAAATAGTTACATTAGAGATTTTGTTAGCTCCACAAATTTTCAGTTTTAATCTTTTAAGAAATTCCATAAAGTTTTCTGATACCCATAATATCGTCTTCGGCAAGCTCAAAATCTTCTTTTAATTGATCACTGCAAGAGAAATATATTTAGTATGTCTAGCAGTGTTATTCAAGGAAATCTAGATATTTGTATCACAAACCTGTAATATGGATGCATGATAGCTTTTGGATCATTGGAATGTCTAAGTCCAAGAGCATGTCCAATTTCATGAAGGGCAACCTAAAAAGAAAAAGAAAGTAGGATGTAACAAGCTTAATCTATTTGACATTTGAAAAACACTGCTTCATGCTCTTTTTGCTATTAATTATTGATTGTGGTATATTTTAAGCTGAAATTACAACAACAAAATTTTTATTAAGCTGAAATATTTAAGCTGAAATTATTTTAAGCTGAAATTACGACAACAAAAGACGGACATATCGAAGATCAAGTCCATTACGTCCATCAATCGACCAGTATTCAGAACCATCGAAATGAATGATACCCTCTATGGGATATCCTGAATGAGCTACAATTCCACCAAATCCATCAAAGGATTCTTTATCACCGTGAGCATATTTAGCAAATAGAACATCAAAATTTGCATCAGTAGTCCCTGTAGTACGATCCGATGGAGAGAGATCTTTAAATAAAAGAGCTCCTCTTGATGAATTTGACCATTTCTCGAAAGCTTGTTGCAGAACATTCCTTAAAAAATACTGAATAAGATTACAGATCTACAAAATCTCAATTATGTTCTAGTAATATCGGAGTAGGCAAATGATAGATAATAGTTTAGACATTGAGATAATTTATAGATTGATTAAAATTCTTGATTAAGATTGATTAAAAATTGAGATGATTGATTAAAATTCGAGAATTGATAAAGAAGTGTATTTTACGAAAAAGAAAGATATGATTAATGCAATGTAAAACGAGAGAAATTTCTAATGATAAATTAATGAACTGGAAGATTTGTTTTTGAATGAAATTGTTCCGAATAATAAAACGAAAATGTAAACAACAGAATACAAACTTTACAATGACAAATTTCCTGTCGTTTTTGAAAAGATGGAATGGATCCCGAAATGACCAAGATAGTGTACCGGTAGACCATTTATGCTCATTTAGTACTAAAATAATCTCTGTAATTGAGGTGATAAAAAATAACAGACTTAATCTTCATATAAAATAAATAGTTTGAAAAATTATTTTATTAACAAGTTAGCTTGATGAATAACATCATTTAATACTGAAAGATCATTTTTAAAAGCGTTAAGAATCAAATATGCTATTAGATTGCTATTTTTTATCCTTATCTAGTTCAACAATTTTTCAATGATAAATTAATACTACAAATAATGAAAGTTTTGATGCGATCAAAATAAATTTGATAAATGATTTCAAAAATTGTATTTGTTACAAAAATAACAAATCTTTAGTATTCACTCACCATACCGTTTCTTTAGCCTATACTTCAAATATTCAAATGCGCCTCTATTGCAAATTTTTCGATCTCTATATGAAATTGTTTTTCTTGTATTTGTGACTGAATCCCTAGAATGGAAAAACAGTTTATCAGTACTATCACAAATGTCTTTATTTATTTATTTTTTTTTTCCACAAAGATTCCAACAATAACCTAAAAAATTGATTAAATTTATGGTATAAAAAGATTGCAATATTCATTCTTGCATAGATTTTTTTTTAATAACAAAATCAAATGTCACTTTTTCGACATGAGAAACAGGAATTTTTTTGTAATAAATTCTTGAAGGTGGAAAATAAATTCTTGAAATTTGCTTTCTCGACTAACTTTTTATAACAAAATGATGCTTACAGAATGAATGCCGATGAAGTAGCAAAAGCAAATTGAAGCGACAATAGAATTAACATCAGCGATCAGCTATGAAAGCAATGATAATTGTAATGATGTGATGATGATCACTGTAAATGTGTCGTTTATCTAAATCGACTTTCCTTTCTTCTGCAAATTGCTGTCCGAATTTGAGGATGACCCCATATCAGAAACAAATCGACATAATTCAGTAATTCAACATAAACACATGATGGATGAATGGATGTGCTATTTATCATCTAACTTTATCATTTATGCCATACCAATACTATTTAAAATCAAATGGTTTTATAAGTTTTTTTTTTTCTAGTGAAAATGAAGTTAAATTATGAAAAGATTAGTTTGTCCACTCGTTTGTATGTCTCATTTTCATGATTTTAATCATCATACAATAATAAATGTGCTGAAAAAGCTTTATTAGATTTGCTTAAAAATTTTTTTTTAAATTTTATTTCATTTCTATTTTTTCTCCAACAAAAAATTACAAAATTAACATCATTTACACAATGAAAATCGAAGAAAAAAAAAAAAAGATTATCTATAATTAAGTGATTATAGAAGAATACAAAATATATTTGCTTGGCCATTTGTACTATTCTTTCTTCTTCACTTATTTCTGAAACTGTTTGATTATGTTATCAAAATATGCTGTACAATGATTTAGATTAATAGCAATATCTAAGTGTTATTTAATGGTATACAGTCCACTCTACCAATTTTGAGCTTTAACTTTTGATATTTTATCAACTTAATAAATTTGTTTAATGATTCTTAGCTTAATTTTATCACGATAATCTTGGTGTGCTTTTTTAGAGGTGAATTGCTTTAAATACATTAAAATGACAGAGTAAAGATTATAAGAAAATATTGTTCAGAAATTACATAATTAAAATTATTGGGAGCTGCAAACCTTGACGATTCAAACGAATCACTCTGAGTGTGATCTGCAAAGAAAAGAAGCAAAATACTTCTAAAAGAAATCAAATAGCTTTCCGAAATATTTTCCTCTAATCCTACTATCACTTTGATAAATCTGCTTTTGCTTGCAATTTCTTTTCTTTTCTTTCGGAGAGAATACTAATTGCGAATTTGAAAATTTTCTTACTTTCTTCACTAGGCGAATACTCTGTCCCTTTCAGTGATTCGTCTCCTTTTATCGTTTCATTTGTTGTATTTGAAAACTTATTGGTTGATTGTTCTTTTGCTTCTGCAATATACAAAAATATAGTTTGATTGAATAAACAAAATTAATGAATATTGCAACATGCATCTTCAACATTGAATTGCTAGCAAAGTGTAATTAATTCTCAGACAAACTCTGAGCTCAGTTCAGTAGATTAGAATCACTCTAAAGAGGAAATAATTCTTGAAATGGTCAAATTTTATTGCAGGTAAATCAAGAGACGTCTATTTATTAATTAATGTATTTGTGAAGTTCTATTTAGAATAATTGAAATAATGAATCGTAAACATACCGAAGTATTTCTGTTTCAGTGAATTTCCTTCTAACTGTTTCTCTGAGCAGTTTGATGTATTGGATGAAGCAAATGATGTTGATGATAATTTTGATATTTTCATTGATTTCTACAATACATTTTAAGCAAGTGAACATGGTAAAATTTCCAGATTTTAAAATTAGCACAAATTTGATGATAAAATGGAAAAGAATTACCTCATCAAATGTCATTTTGTGATCATTTCTTCTTCCTCTGTTTTCTTCACTGCACGAAGAAATTTGCCTGATATCTTCTTTGTTCGCTCTTGAATATCTTTCAGTAAAAGTTAAAAAGAAAGTAATCTTTTTGTAATCGTATTGTTTAATCTCAAAAATGTTTGTCATCAATTTCGAGAACATAAACTGCTTTTTTCTATACGGTTTTCACTTCTGGAAAAAAAGAAAAACAATTGAAGGAACAGAAGAAGGACAAACCTGTCTCTTCTCCAACTTGTTTTTCTCGAATTATTGGGATCATCCATAATAATCTCTGTTAGGCCATATTCATCATCTTTCGACTGAAAAGACCGCAACATCAAAACAAATGGCTGATACAAAAGCAGATAAAAATATATCTGATAGGCTTTTATGTAGGATCAGATTATTTTACATTCATTATCCTTTCCATTCAACTTGAATTAATTGATCATTTCTATTTAATTATAATTTTAGCAAATGAAAATAAACATTGTTATTTTAGGAAAAATGATATCGTTGTAAAATATTACTGTGAATGCTCTGAAGAAGCAATAAATTGAAAGGGAAAAGTCTTAAAATAAAAAGTCTTGATGATAAGCTTTATTCAATTTTCTCAATACTGGTGTAACTTTTAACAGAAATAAGAGCATCAGAAACGAATTGGTAAAAAGATTGATGTGACAAAAAATTAATTTAAATGAATAATTGTGTTGTACACTTTATTATTCATTCAGGTATCATCATAACCTAATCCAATCATCTAACTATTATCTCTTAGACATAAAAAGCCTATTGCAAAAAAAAAAAAAGAAAGAAAAGCATTTAAAAAAATTTTTGAAAAAGATACATTTTGCTGCGTTAAGCGTATAAATGAATATAAAATTTCACATATTTGCGCCATGATAAAAAGAAAAATGACAAATGTTAGCAGTAAAACAGCGAAACGTAGCGAATATATCCCTTCTATTACATATGCCGAAAAATCCTTTGTCGTCATTACCACTTTGAAGAGCTTGATAAACTGAAGAAAGTAAAATCATCATAACTAATTGCAATTATTTCAAGTATTCAGAATCGAACATAAATTTCTGATATTTGATTATTGGTTAATTTTAGTGGGTAACCATTACTTCATACTTAACCATATTTATTTACTAATGTTTTTTTTTTTTTTTGAAGAAATGACTATCGGTTGGTCATTTCCTTATATTCATTTTTGATTTTTTAAGTGAGAATAAGAGACCATACAGCAGGAATTTTGTGGGATTATGCAGATGACAGATGAAAAGTTCTTCAGTAATGATTGAAAAATTAGAGGGCATTAGAAGTGATCATGCAAAGATTCTCTCTGTTCGCTCTCTTTTGAACCTGAGAAAAATCGAGAATATTGAAGACAGTCAACTTTACTGACCGCTCACAGTTCTTTTAGTAAATGAAAATAATATCAATTCTTCTACTACTACTCTTTGTTCTAGCGATTGTAATAATTACAATGACAAACAATCATTTCATCCTATCTTTGAAGTTGCAGAAAATATGAATAAATTAATTTTTATCAGTATTAAATGTACTTATCACTTTTTAATCTGCAAAAAATTTTAATTGTCATAATGATGGATGAAAATCGATATTCATGCATTTTCAGCTTTAAAGTAATTCAGTTTATAGTAGAGATCATTTATCAGTCAGTCATGTACAATTTAAATTTTAAATGTCACATCGATTGAAGAATAAATTTTGAGTCGACTGATTGATTATCTTTCTGATCCTGAAAACTGATCCTGAAAACGATTTATCTCCTTCATTGACTGCTATCCGATCTCCTACAAGGAAGGGAATTGAGAATTGAAAAGTCAAAAGTAAGGTAAAACATTATAGTGATTTAAATATGCTTCATGAAAAAGACACAATGAAATGGTCATCATTACCTTTTAGTAACAGTCGTTACTCTCTATGATTTTAATATTTTTCCCTCATACTTGTGCTCTGGGATATCTCGGGTGCCTTATTCAGAATTTTAAAAGTTTGTTCAAACATATTTCTAAGTGAATACCAAATAATTTGCGCATAATAGACTTAAACTATTGCTTACTGTCACACATATTTTTTGCATCCTCGCAAAGGATAACAGCTCTATATATTCCAGACTTTTCCCCCGGGAAATCTTTTCTTCTTCCGGTGAATTATTTCTTTGTAAAGGAAGAATAAAAAACAATTAAATCTTCTTTCCTCACAAAAAGTTTTGAAAAAATGAGTGGAAAATTTGATGGCGTAAATTGTTTGTCTTCATTTATTGGAATATCCCGGGAATTCATATGGTATGGGATATCCCAAAGATTTCACAGCACAATCTGAGACATACCGGGAGGAAAACTGGAGAATTGTCACCACTCCTTTGAGTCATAAAACGAGCGTTAATCCACAAAGAATGTGCTTTTTGCAGAAATCACGTAGACAGTTCTTGCATAAATCACGTAGGCTCATCCATTCCAATTATCTGCTGGGAAGTGTGCATCTTTAGGCTTCCATTATGTTCTTGAGAGAGATGGCATTGGGTATGTGTTACCCGTGCGGGTAAGTTTTCCGGGTGAAGGCAGCGCGGGGGGGTTTATGTGAAGGTCTAGTCTATCGGGGGATAGGAACGATGGAGTTTATGTTAGGGGGGTTGTGGAGTTTTTTTTTTCAGTTCTGGTTACAGTGATATTCGTTCGTGCGCTCCTGTTGGAAGTTTAAAAATGGGTAGAAGACGTGGTCGTGTAAGGTTTTTCGTCAATTTTTAAGTTAAAAAAAAAAAAAAACACATAGGAGTATAGTTTTTGTTGATACAATAAATTTAAATTGGATACTATTCATTTTCTTTTCGTTTATCTAGAAATCTTGTAATGTAGTTAAGAAATTTAAGTCTTTGTTTCTCATTTGAAAATTTTTAATTATCACATCGGATTAATATTGGAGAATATTCAGGATTTTGGTTACGGAGGATATGACTGGAGATATAACAACTACGGATACGTTGGCGACAGTCGTCGTGGTCGCGGAAATGTTATTATTTTATTTGAAAAAGTCTTATGATTAAAACAGCAGCAGTTTGAAGTGACCACATTCTTACTAGTGCCTTGATCACATAGATAATATAGATTATTTAGAACCTTGCAATTTTGTTTTACGATAGCTTTTTAGGGTATTGCATCTCATTTTTTTCTGCCGTATTGAAAGTTTCGAAATTTCAGTGTCGTGAAGTGAAGAATATCTGTCGTGCACCAGTTGGACAATATCCGGTATGTTTAATTTTGTGGTTTTCTGCTAAATAAAAAGCAATTATAGCTTTAAGTTCTTCGTTCTGTTTGATCTTTTTTTTTTTGCTTTGTCTTCTAAAAGCTGGGTTCATAACAATGTGAAAAATAAGAGTTATATTCGATAAGAAATTGGTTAATGCATTAATGCACACCTTAATGCATTCCGGAAATAAAATCATGTGAAGTATCTATCGCGACTACATCAGGCCATAAAAATGGCAATGTTATATTTTCTTTTCAGCCCAGTGCGGCTGACCTTTCATTACAGGAAACAGCAGAAAACACAGTAGTGTATGAATACATAAAGAGTTCTGAAATGCAGAAGAATGAGCCAAAAATACCATGTGCAATTAATAATGTTAGTTCATTCATTTACTATGAAACTGTGAACGTTTTCGTTGGTTGAATGGCAAAGTTTTTCCAAATTGAATATCCGTATTTCTATGGACGAATCTATGAAAGCTGCGGAATAGATTATTGGACTACGGTTTTGTATGCGGAGTTTGTTACAGATAAATCAAAAAGAAATGATAAGAATAACGTTGAAAACAATTTTAGGATTTCGCAGAAGATGATGCAACAGAGCTTGAAATTGTGTCCGCTACAAATACTACAAATACTGAAACAACCGATGAGGTTTTGAATTTTCAGTTTTCAAAACAAAAGAGAAAACGTAGAGTTCGCTCTTTGTAAAGTACATATCCTGGATTATAACTTGAAGATCGTTGCAGTTAACCAACCCAATCACGCAAGATATTGAATTGGGAAGCGAAAAGGACTTTAATGGCAATACGATTTTATTGTCCAGAGATGTAAGATTTATTGAAATATTGAATAAGTTTAATTTTTGCTCGGTTAATCTCCAAGTACTTTACTTTTTCATCTAGGAAGTAAAATAATGTGAGACAATTCCTCTTAGTTGTCGCTGTATCTCAGAATTCTCTATGTCAATTATACCTGTTACCGATTAGGCTAATATTTATTTTAGTTAGTAGGATTAATAAATACTACAAATTTGCTGATATTCAGAAAAGTAATGTCGTCAGAGAAAGCTGTATTGGCGATCGTCGTCTATATTTGTGTCCACAGCGAAATGAGACATCATTAAGAGTTCGGAGTGAATTGGATCTTTTGGACCCAGTGCGGTTTTTTTTTTCTTGACTCGCTAATAAACCTTTAATACTACTTTATTTTTTTGTGTTAAGCACAAAATATACAAAGTATATATACTTTAATACCTTGTGTTGAAAATACTTCTTTTGTATCTTTTCCTTTCTATGCACAGTTTTCTCTCTTTCCCGCTCCTCCCCTCGAAGATTTTATGTTGAGAGAAAATCTGAACTAAAAAATTTTAGCTGCGTAATGTGGGCAAATCGAATAGTGCAAAAACAAAGGGAACTAATGCTGATCCATCTGATCCGTCATGGAGCTCTTGTTTCGAGGTTTGCGGTTTGCAGTGTAACATTCGTTGTGCTGTCAAGTAAACATGGTTTTGACATGTAGGGCATTGATTATAACAGATTATAATCATTTACTTTTCGGGCATCTAATACATATACTAATTTTTTCAGCTTCACCTCAATGGTGACGAATCTCAAAATTCGAATGTCAGCAGGCCAAAAACTACCTCGACATCATTGGAAGTTCTTCATAATGGAGTAATTTTCCTTGTCTTTGTAAGCCCAATTATAAAAGGATATTACTATCATATGATAACTTTTTATTTTCTGTTTCAGGAAAACTCTGTTCTAAATGTTACTCGAACTTTGAGCATTTCTGGACAAAAACTTGCTTCTGTATCGGACGAACACTTCTATATTGAGGTGGATTTTATCTCATTTACCTTGGTACCATCATTTTGTGTATCTTATCATTCTCTGATCTGCTATATTATTCACTGAAAGCGATCATAATCTGCATTTTAAAAACTATTCATCAAGTTAACTTGTAGTTCTACCATGAACGGTTCAATTCTGGACATATAACAATGTCATTCTGAAACTTTTTTTTCAGTTAAGCCACGATGTAGACGAAGTTAATAATAAGGGTGATATAAACAAGCTTATATCAGCTTCCACAAAAGATTTATGCAATAATGTTAGTTGGTTAAGATTGATGTTTTAAATTCACTTAATTTTTTGTGGTTTCTTTTGACTATTATTAATATACAAAACTCAGGATGTATTCCACAAAGATGAAGATGTATTGAATAGAAAGGGAGCATATTTTTCTATGTATGACTATTGGAAATATTGACGAAGGAGTTCGAAAAAAGCATAGGGTTTACTTTAGTGTATAAATTTTCTATTGAAAGTTTTTACAGTAAAGCAATTACCATGTTTTTATTAGCTTTTGTATAATATTGCACGATATGTAGAACATTAATGAGAAGCTATTTTATCAAAAAAGCGTTTTTGTAGGAACAATGATAAATTTTTGATCATGTGGGGCAAAAGTGGGTGAAACAGACATTTTGAAAGTCAAGTCATTTAATTGTTCCTGCACATTGTTTACTAGTTCTTACATTTAATTTGTAATATCTCAAAAATAAGACAAGAACGTGCATTTGTTATTGTACATATTTCGCTGTTTATTGAATACGATTAAACATAGTGGCAAGAAATCTTAGAATGCGATTTTTTTTTTTTGAAACCACAATTTTACTTAGGAATAGCAAAGAGGATTTTATTAAAGTTTTAACGTGACGTTGCTGGTGATCTAGCTGAAGATCTATGAATTTGAAGAAAAACATCACCACATTCATAAGTTTAAAAAATAGAATATTGTTATAAAATACATTTCACTTCCTTGAGATTGCCGTTCCCGAACATGTTCCAAATTGCGAAGCTATTACGTACATGCATGAATGTGTAAATTCCTATGTAAATATAAGTCTTGAGGGAGAGTTTTTAATTATGTCAATATTTAAGGTTACAAAAGTACAGGATTTCAAAATGTATAGAAGTTCTAGAGGAAAAATGGTTAAAATATGGTTCTGCACAAAATTTATCAGTTGTTTGACTTCGTTACTTTTCAGGGTTTGTATGGTGGGATTCATCGAGCCTCTGACAATTGTCTTGATGCTGTATGTGATGAAGTATCAGCTAATTCACGCTTTGTGACAAGAAGTTTTTCTTTCTCTGCGGTTCGTTTAAAATTTTGCATAACAGTTTTAGTTACCGATTGTGGAGTGCGACAAATATAGATTTATTCAATTTTTACTTATTAGGTTCATCTGGAAAGAAAACTGTGATTTATTGAAAATTGTTGATTATTAGAAAATTTATTGGAAACATTGCCCTTCAAAACGTCATATAAATTCAAAATTACCTTTTTTTTCAGCAGAACTGTAATCATACTGAGATCTTCACGACAAGTAAGGATAAGAACAATGCAGTTGATATTGGAAAAGTAAGTGAAAATAGTCCAGTACTTCAAAGTATAATTGGGAATTTTGGTCATTGTTTTACATTTATTGAAAATATTAGTCTGATTTTATGCTGTTTTAAAATGTTATAAAGTATTGTTTTTTAAGAAACTTTTATTTAAAAGGTTTTTTTAGTTGTGAACAATAATATTTGTGCTTTTTTTTTTTCAATCCGTATTTTAAGAATTAGTTTCTTGCCTTGACAGTTAGGACCTTTCATGAATTTACTTGTTTAATAGTTATTGGGATGAGGTTATTTCTTGTGCTGAAAAGCAAGATTTGTTATCAAAATCTTTTTAGGCTAAAATATTGTTGACAGCACAAGGGTATCAGAAAACACCTTTGTGTCAATCGCGTGATTGTATATCGTTAACCGATCGGTCATCATCTAATTTTACTTTTTCATCTGCGCACAGCAACAAAAGTTTTACTGATTCTTTTCCTTGGGTTAGTGATTGTGCATTAAGAAATTTTTTTAATTGGAGATGTGATTATATTTACCACTTAGAAGTTATTTTTAGGGCGATGTTACTTCTTCAGTGGAGTCGCATATATCAACACCGAGAAATAGTGATGTTGCAACAAAAGATGTGAGCGAGAAATTCATGGCTTTCAAGCTTGAGTAACAACAGAATATTTTTAATGTTCAGTTTTTTGACGGAGATAATTTTTCAGAAGGATTTCTTGCAATCTTTTAAAAATTTAGAATACATCAATGGATGCATCGCTTCCTTATATGATGCTACCAGACACCGATCATATATCAGGATGTAATTTCAACCGAACACAAATTAGCCGTGAAGAATATGTTAAAGACAAAACAAATGTTGAACAAAAAGCAAAAGTCGTAAGCTATATGTTATGTGTCCATTATAAGAATGACAACAATGAAAATTGAATAAAAATTTTCCTATGCGTCTTGTTTTGTTTTTAAGGTCTTTGTTGTACATTTTGATTTACTTCGCGTATTTGGATAGAAAGAATACGACACGAAAAATTATTAGTATTTAGATGTAATTAAAAGCTTTTTTTTTAAAAAAAAGAGTATGTGCAGTATATCGATGCATACCGGTGCATTCAGTTTGTTGTCCTTGTGAGAATAGAGACCTTTTTTCAGAGTCAGGTCCGTGTATTTTTCTTGTTTAATATTTTAATTAGAATTTTAATTGCCTTTTTTTACAAGTATCTTTTCTAGCTTTTTATCACAATTAGATTTCTCTAGGAATTGCCCAAAGACGAACTGAAAAAACATTGCTTTGTCACTCAGCACACTGTTATTTATCCTGTAAGTCATTTGGAAATGCAGTATTTTCCGAATAGTACCTATCAGTTCAAATACGAAGAAAACGATGAAAAAAGTGTGGACAAGCAAGCAGTTACTTTACGCAGAGATCAGTGTTCGCAAACTAAGGAAATTGTGGTAACACAGTCACCAGAGGTAAATTTGCTGCCTTTTCAGGTCGTGCAGTAGAAATTAGATACTCGCTTACATGATTTTAGTCCTTTGATTGTTTTTTTTTTCAGGATACAAGTCGAGCAGTGTCTGTGTTGAATACAATGTTAGAGCGACGTTTAAATAACAGTGGAAGTCAAAATGGATCTTTTACGCAGGAACGATTAAACAGTTTTTATTCAACACCACTCGGTTGCCCAAAATCACCACCACAAAAGATTTCGAATTTTCAAAGCTTTACGGTCCGTTTTTTGAATATTTAGCTTATATCTCATTTTTCTTTTCGTATAAGAGTGCAGTGCATCATCCCTATGAGTTATTGACTCAAATCTAATTCTCCTTTCACCCTTTCAGGTAACCAACAGATTACATGACCTTGTTGATAGAAGTGATGCTCCATTACCACATTCAAAGTGTTTGTCAGTTGGACCTGAGGTTGTTTTCATTAAATCATTTATTATTGCTATCTCTACTTCTCGTTACTTTAGTGAATTGCTTTTCCTATGAATTGTAGTTTTGTTTGTCCACAAAGCACAGTTTTATTATTAGGCAATTTCCGGTTTACTAGTAAATATGAGTTAAAAATATATTTGCATGAATTGAAGGATATTGTATAGCTATTTAAGATGGATAAAAAAACAGCAACGATTGTGAATGAACAGTATGAACATATTGTCCAGGAACCGAAGGAAATTTTGTTAAAACAATATTGCCAGGAAAATAGCTCTGAGAAGGCATCACCAATATCAGGTAGCGAAGGACGCTCAACAATTCGGTATGCTGTGTAGCTTTTGACAGAAAATTATTTGCATTTCTTGCTAGTAATTATAGTTATTTTATAAAAATATTTGAAGAAAACTAGATTTATGGCTTCTTCAAAACCGTTGCTTTCCGTCTGCAAGAATTCACCGAAGTTCAGTTTTCTTACTGATGACTTTTCTTTCGTCATATGTACTTGTTAATTTATAGTTATTGTCTAGAGCTGTCGTGCTTGATTATGATCTGAAATGCAAACAATCTTGTTAAACAGTAGCATCTCAAATCCCGTTCCAGAAAAGAACATAACATATTGCAATATTAATTGAAGAAATACTTTAATCTAAATTACGTTTCATCAAGAAATAATTGGTGCTTTTAATATAGCACATACATAATCTTGTAACTGATTGTATTTATGTCAAAATTTGGAATAATTATACATTGAGAATTCCTCTTCTTTATACTTCAATAGTAATTTTGATTGCTAACAGATGAGTAGTCGCGAGTTGCAATTACAGCAATCGTTTGCCAAGAGGACAAACACGTAAACTCGCGTCCTTGTTTGAAACGATGAGTGATGCAGCAAGTGTAGAAATGTTGCGAGAGATGGATCACTTGAAACGCCGTGGTAAGTCAGTTCCGCCGAACATTAACAAAAAAACTTGTCACCAAGAGACTGAAGTCAATACCAGGGAACTTTTTCAAGGTTTGTTTTGCGTATTGCTTTTTAGAAGCTCAGTTGTCATTCCACCACATATTTTCTAGCTAAAAAAGTGTCTGACATTGTAATCTTGCAATAATTTTGAATGCAGACTCGGGAAATGTAGAACTCATTTAGATCTAGCAGTTCCACGCAAAACAAATGAGATTGAAGGACACTTTATAAAAGACGAGCAAGTTGTTGAAGCACGCAACGTACGTAGCATTGTGAATCGGTTGGTTCTTGTACCTTTAGTTTCTTTGTTACGTCAGTTTTTTTTTCCTGTTTTTTACCTTATTTTTTTAGATTTGAATCGGTATCTGACTCAAATAAGTGTCAAAATTCACCACGGACAATCCAAATCGATACAACACCACGAAAACTAAAGAATCAAAAACGATACTCACAGTACGCTACAAACATGTTACAACCGGTGCCAGGTGTTCCCAGTGGCAGAAGTATTCAAAATGTTCAGTATACTGTTGATTCGAACTACAATGTCTGTGGTATTACAAGGTCACCTTCATCGCGATCAGATGAATGGAATGAGTGCTCAGGTCACGGAAATTCCTCGCACAATTTGCCGTACGGTAGCACGAGCTGTGCTAACGTCTGGGATCAACAGCAATACGAATTAGGATTGCGCAGGGTTTTTATTTGCTTCATTCTAACATAACTATTTACAATTGTGTCTTTCTTAGTGCTTGTTATTTAAATTTTACTTTTCAGGGAATAACTAATCTGAAACGTTACGATAGCAGATACAACAGAGTAACGAATGAGGTAGAGTGATTTATGCATTCTACTAGAAATCCAAATATATAATAAGCAATTTAAACAATGATATTTATTTATGTTTTTCTGCTCTCACCTCTTCTGATTTCTGTGAAAAAAAAACAATACAATTCAGCAGTTGGTAAAACCACATTTTTTATCTGCTTCTTGTTGATTGTGAATCACGGAGTATTGATGTTTAAATTGCTTACTACAGAAAGTATAAATATGCTTCTATAATAAGAATATAATAATAAAATCTGTAATAAATGTTACAGATTCATAACGTGAGTAGATCATTTCAGGCAAAAATTTACTTGTTTACATATACGCATCATTCAAATCCACTGTATTGATTGTGAAACCTATTGCAGATTCTTAGTCAAGACCCGTCCTATGCTATGCAAACGCAAATGCGCCAAATGAATTATAAACCTGAAGTACAATCAAGTTGCCGTATGGATGTTATTACCGATCGTTCGCAAAAACGTAAACAATTTTTACATTTCATTTCTTGATCATTTTTCTACAAATTATAATATTTATATTTTTTTAGATATTTATGAGGAAAGACTTGATAATGAAATTGTGGATCACGTTGCTGAAGTAGAAAAAGCGTTTGATTTCGTCAACAAGGTTTTCTTTGATTGATCGTTTCACAATTCGCTGTAACCTAACTAGCTTGAATCTTCCCTAAATATATTTTAGACTGATTCACTAGCAACTCTTGGTCAACAGTATTCGCAAGAATCTCTGGCAAAACCTTTATCGCCGTCTGCAAAAACTAATTCGGTTAGTGGTACTATTTGGTCTACATTTATTAAGATAAGCATTAAGAAATGTGAAAATTTATCTTATTGCTGTAAATTATTAAATATATTACTATGAATTGTAAATTATTGTGTCCTTTGGAAATATTGATGAATTTTTCATCATCATTCCCTTTATTGTGTCTATATTGGTTGCTTGCGATGCTTACAAAAATTTATCCAGATCTCACTATACCGTGATTTGGAAAGAGAATACCGTAAATTGCCGAACAATGACATTCCTGTTGGTTTTTCTCCAGCTGCTTATTCGTCAACTCCATCTGCTGGCGAGCGATTGGCAACTTATGAATACAAAAATCAGACGGTAATTTATTTCGATATTTCTATTCCATGGTTATTAATTTGGTAATTTAGGCTAAGAACTATTGAGATCTTATTTTTTGAACAGTTCTGTTTATTTGCTAAATCTGAAATATATTGTGCTGTAGTGGATGTAGTATTTGTAAATAAGGGATCTATGATCATTTTGCTTCACAGAATTGATGTTTGCTGAAGTATTACCGATATTATTAAGATAAGCATTAAGAAATGTAAAATGCACGCCATCTTGACGAAATTAAAAGCACTTGTAAGAATGGGACTGGAAATTATTTATTTGCAGATAAAAACTACTAAACTTGGAGGTCACATGGTTTCATCGAATCCAATGGCTACTTCCACTCCTCTTGATGGTTCACCGGCAACTAATAGTCGCACGCATACTTCCGCGAGTTATATGCTTAATCGAAGTGGCTTCTCCTCAATAGCGGCTTCGACAGCGCACGAAATCGTTCAACTACAACAGTCAGATATAGAGTTACAGGTTGGTGATATGCTTTTGATTTTGGTTTGCTGGTAAAAATAGATTTGTTTGAATTTCATTTGCTCGCATATCATTAGTGCCGAAGCACTTTTTAGCTAGAACATACTCGTTCACTTTGATGAAATCAAAATTTACAGATTTTCTTGCAATTGCATTTTCTGTTAGCGTTTCCTCATTTTTTCATTATGAAAGGTAAAGTCCTTCCTGATAAGTCTTTCTATATGGAATATGGATTACAGACAATAAAACAAGAAATAATGATCCAGGAGGGTCAGATTGCACAGGCATCATTGGCATTAACTCACTGTAAGAGGAATAACAGTTTTAATGGAACTCTTGTTGAGGTTAGTTAATCATCTTATAGATAAAGGGATGCTTACTTTTATCCGGTCTTTGTTAATGTTAAGTAATTCTTGAAGTGAACTGTGCTATAAACATTTTTGTTCTGCACAAATCTGTGAGCAGTTCTGAAAATAGATATGATATATTTATAGCTAAGTGCTCAACGTGGTTTGTTACTGGCACGCGAACGACTTCTGGCATTACGAAATGAAATGCAACGTTTGGAAAGACGTCGACTTATCAAGGAATCGGTTCCTCCAGTGACGAAACGTATGCGTGGAGCTATCGACCTTACATCAATTAATGTTTATCTTAACCGCAACTTTTGCATCCGTAATATTGATGAAAGTAAGTTTATATGCCAGTGTTTGTTGTGGAGAGAGATTTTTACTGTTTTTATAATTTCTAATAAAATATGTTTATAATCATGACTATTTATTACCTTGTTCTTTTCCGCTTGACATTTGAGTTTTCCTGGAATGAATTGGGCAAACTATCTTTATCTAGATGTTTCGTACGCTTTCGTTATCCTTTTGAAAACTGATGAACAAGTAGAAGCTACGCAAACAGTTACACTAATGGACACGCGTGCATTACGTGTTAGCAAAGTTCATTTTTCTGATCAAATTCGTTTCACAAATCTACCAGTCGATTTTACAGTGCTGTTGGAGATCTATGCTTTGGTAACAAAATTTGTTTTTTTTTTTTTTTTTTGTTATACAGTTTTTTAGAATCTATCAGTGCTTCACTCGAATGTTATCGTTTATTTGCTGGAAAAAAAGTTCTTAGGGAACAGTTTTTATACTTTTTCTTGTTCCGTATATTTGGATCTTGAAGATTTTCGAGATTTCCTGGTAACGCATTTCTAGTGTGACTAACACTTATTTTATAATTTATAACTGTAATTCCAAACTTTGTTTACAAGCATTCTGTTGTTGAAATTGCATGCTCATTCGTCAGAAGCTAGTACATTTTTAGAAAGTTACTGAAAATCGTCGCTCGGATGATTATTCATGCAGCATGCTGAAGAACAAAGCAAAGTCGTTGTTGAGTCCATGTTGGTTCTATCTCTTATTTCATTATATCTCTTAAACTTAAAATTTTCTCGCCCTTGTACTCATAATTTTTAGCTAAGAAGACATGTGGTGACGAATCAGTTGTGGGCTTCTCAGAATTCACATGCTGTGGACATATCTGTTTGAATAGGGACACCGTTGGTATACAAAAATTCTATTTGGATGGAGCAGTTTATCCACTGGAAGGAACAATTGAGATTGACTCTCGCTGCACGACGCTTCCTCCTACCATTGAAATCGATTTCCGAGGATTCTTGGTAATTTCAAAGATTACAAGTAAATAAGTGTCGTAGGAATTTTTTTCCTGTTTGATTTACATTGATACTTTTTTTATGCGATGAAATAGTATAATTTGTATTTCAGACAATGTATCAAGTAATATCTGGATTGGGGTCATGGGCTAGATACTGGGCTGTGCTGCGCTGTGGTGTAGTGCAGTTTTGGAAATATCCGGATGATGAAGCTTCTGAAAAGGTTTCGGTATATTACTAAACATTCTGCAGTAATGTTATAAGATTTCGAAGCTATTTCTGTAATATGAATTGTATTTAAGCCTCCTCTCGCATGTATGGACCTTTCGAAATGTACGGATAAGGAAATCAGCCATGCATCTCATGAAATCTGTTCACGTCCGAATGCTTTCACCGTCGACCTTTTGGTTCCAACAACACCTTCCCTTATAGAGAAGAAACGGTTTGCATGTTAAATTACTTTGATTACCAAGATATTGCTAAAAAGAAGAGCCTTATTTAGAGAGCGAACTGGTAGCGACGTTACACAAGCAGAGAATATGTCTCGTTTTTTCTTTTCTATTTCAGTGTATTGTTATCTGCGGACACGAAGGAGCTTTGCAGTGCTTGGTTGAATGCACTGAATGGGACACTGGAGGTGCTTCGTGGATAGCCATTTAAAGTCCGACCTCTTTTAACGTGCGTAGTTTTAGAGGTGTTACTTATCAACTTAAATTCTAATATTGTTATGTGTGGCAATTTATTTATTCCTTTATAATAACTGGGTGCATCTGTTTCATTCCATCTTTTATTTGTTTGTTGTTGATTTATTTTAATCATCAAATGTTACTTTTCCTTTCATCTGATTTTATTCTGTGCTATATAAAGAATTTAGTTCGCTGTTCTTTCTAATAAATTGTTTCTTTTAATTCGTATGTAGTATGCTGCAACATATGTGTGGGTCTGACAGCGCATATCTAACGTTAATAGTTGTGTACATTATATTCAAGCATGTTATATTGATTAGCTGACGATTTCTCATGCGGTATAGGTTTTACTAGCTTGTTTTTTGCTAAGGCTGAAGTGGCAAGTGGTTTGCATTTCATTTTTTTGTTTAGAAGGTTTATAGTTCATAGTTGTTTGTGACTGAGCTGGTCGATGAGTTGCAATAGCTCTGTCAATGTGACAGTGAGATACTTTTGAGGTTGTGGCGGTTATTGTGTGTTTTGTTGTATTTTGTTATTCGCATGCATAGAATAGTAGTTGCTAGTTCGCATTTTTCCGGGAATATGCTAGTCAGGCAGCAATTTGAGGATGTTGTGAATTCAGTGAATGATTTCAGGTGCAAAAGTTATTTGTAATTCCCATCTAAGTGATTTTAGTAAGATTGCATAATTTAATCTTTTTTTTTTTCTTTCCTCAAGCACAATGGCAACAAAAATCCCTGTAACGAAGTACTTTCGACCATTTGTACCACCATTACCGCCTGGCACAAAAATTAGCAACGATTTATATTGGGATGTATATATTTATCGGCCACTTTGTCGCCTTTGGGAACGTGTGGGTGTTTATTTGTACAATCGAGTGATTAATCGCTTCGAAATTGGCGTAAGAGATAAAGCATATAATGCTCGCATTCATGGTCCTTACTGTCCTTGGAGATATTATGGAACTAAAAGTATGGTTTTTTTTTTGGATTTTAGATACTCTTATAAGACATTCTGTTGAATTCTATTGTCCTTGTAATGGATTTCAGTGAAGTCTTTTAATGAGGCACAAGTAATGGCATAGTATCAATTTTGCTAATCTGAAGTGTCTTTTAGAAGATACAAAATTGATGGATGTGAAATTATGCGACCTACCAGCGTGGTTTTCACGTCGCGACAAATCGATTGGAGGTATTGCAAACGCCGCTGTGAAAAGTTTTTACAGATTCGAGCATTACTATTTCGATCACTATCTTATTAATTTGGTTGGGTTTTTGCTTTTTTAGTCATTTCTGAACATAATTAGTTATGCATAATGTATGTAGTTGAATAACTCTGTAGTCACAGAATGATGTTTATTATGTAAAGCATTAAAGCACGAATACCGAAGTAAAGCATTAAAGCACGAATATGATTGTACATTGATAAAATTTTGATAAATTTTACATTGATAAAAACATGATTAACTTATAATGAGAAACTAGATATGCATTTGGAGCGAATTAATAAATAGGGTTAATTATTTGATATGGAAATTATTTAGTACAAGTTTAAATACTTTCTTCTATGTACGTGTCCAGAAAATCTTATTTTACTTTATCAGATGATCTGTTTAATTATTTGTTCTTTGTAGGGGACACTGTATATATTTTTTTGCAGCCACGATTCTTCTTGCGTTTCGTTCTTTTTGGTTATCTGCTGGGAATAATACTTTTCTATGATGAGATTCCAGCTTCTGTTGCGGAGTATCACTGGTGATGCAGTAGATGTATTTTGATCTTTTTTTGATTGTTTTGTAATTCTAGTTGTATTTTTATTGTGCTCAATATTTCGTAAATATGTGTGAAATTTGGAATTTGCTGCAGTTACAATAAATTTCGCTTAGATTTTTCTCGTCCAAGTTCGTTTTCAGAGTTTTAGGCCTTCTTAACTTTTATTTTTCCAACTCCTATTTTCAGTATGATATCAGATCTACTCTCACATCTTAAATGCTCATCAATACTGAAACTTTCATAGCTTTTTTTAGTTTTCCTAAAATGCTATGTAGTACAAATTGAAAGTACTTTGTTTTCTATTTCTAACAGTTTTCAACAATTAGTTGGACTGATCGAGGAAGGCATCATCTTAATGAATATAGACATTTCATGCTTGTTGTTCTTTTTTTTTTTTTTGAAAAAAGGATAAATTAGTTTTGTTTTATCAGCCAAACGATGGCTTTATTAGCGTTATTACTAAACACTTCAAACATCGGTGCATAACAAGAAAAAGTGCTACATTTACGCTGAATGCTCGTTGAACAGTAAAATGAGGTTTCATAAGCTTAACTGCATTACTCTCTGCGAACACTAAATGACAGTTCTGATTTGCATGTCTGTGATTCTGGTATGGGTGGTAACATTTCATTTATTTCCCAGGATGATTTTGCTTGTCGATAGTGAATGATATATTCCTTTTACAGGTAAATAGTTGTAGTTGTATGAGTAATATAAGTAATTAACATTGTAGGTATGGGATCACGAATACGTGGAGCATTTATCGTATTTGAAGGATGTGATAGAGCTGGTAAAAGTTTGCAGTCTAGAAAATTGGTGGAACGTATCAAAGCTGCAGGCGAGGATGTAGATTTAATTTCATTTCCTGGTAATTGATTCTTTATTTATAAGGTTTGCTGAATGTTATTAACATTTTAGTTTATAAAGCCATTTCACATCCAATAAGATTTCTGCACCCATAGTTTTTTTATCGTAATGATAGTAATAATGAGAAATAAATGATTCCATTTCAGATCGTTCAAGCGACTTAGGTAAATTTATTGATCGTTATTTGAAAAAGGAAGTTGAAATGGATCCCAAGGAAGCGCATCTAGTATTCGCAGCAAATCGACAAGCACTTATGCCTTTGATGATGAAAAAGCTGCTTAAAGGAACACATTTAGTCGTTGACCGATACGCTTATTCAGGCATTGCCTATACTCTGGCTAAAGGTTTCCACACTATTTCTATTTTAGTCCTTTTCAAGATTTTTTTGTAGCATTCGAGATACTTAACCTAATTACGAGAATTGGGCGAACAGTTAGGGTTTTCTTGCAAAATTTTTGTGGTTGTTTCATGTTCGCTTTGTTTATTGTGGTTAAGGAGCTGACAACATAACAATGGAGTGGGCAAAACTGGCTGATATGGGTGAGTTAAGACCTGACTGTGTTATATATTTCAATCTTTCATTCGAGGAAGCACAAAAGAGGAGTGGATTTGGTGATGAACGTTTCGATTTTGGCAATTTTCAAGGGAAAGTCAGTAAAGTCATGGAACAGTTAGCTGATGAAGATAGAGATTTGTGGAAAGTAAGTCAAATGAGCTTATGTTTTTTTTTTTTTTTTTTTTTAAATTTTGGGCTTAGATTGATGCAGAGTAGGCATTTTCGGGCAGTTTCGCAGTATTGACAACAACTTGTATCAGTTTTTCAATTTAAGATAGTGGATGCCTCCTTGACTGTTGAAGAAATATCCGAAAATGTGTGGAATTTGGTGGCACCAATTTTGGATAATGTGAGCAGAAAGAGCCTTATGTTTCTCTGATAGTAACGAAACTGTCTCACTTGTTTTACTCTTCTTCACTTTGCTGCAATGTACTGCAGGCAGTTTGTTTTATAAATTAATTCCAAATTGTTCTTATTCTTCAAGTTGTTGGTATTTTCTATCTTTTTTGTACTATAATGTATAAAAAGTAAAAAATGTTTCTTCTCACACAAAATTTGCTAAACTGTGGAAATTTTATACTTCCGAATGTTTCTTTTATTTTTAAGCATCTTTTTCATGTGGGCCTTGTTTTTGGTTTCGGTTTTGGAACATTTAGAGTCCATTTAATGTAGTAAGTTCCTACACAGCCATCTTCATTGTCAATTAAAATTTTCAAAAATCTTATTTATAAATTAGGATGAGCGATGTACTCAATGTAATGAATAGGAATAAGCTGTGTTTCTAAAATTATATTTCAGAAGATTAAATACTTACAAATCGAATTGAACGACAGTGCTAATCGTGGAAAAGTGTTTCATTATGCGTCTTCTGACTGAACTGGAAAGTATGAACTGCTTTTGAGAACTTCTAAGAATTGCTTCTAGTTTTTTCACCTCTCACAAATCATTAGAAAGTCTTTTGTTATCTTGCTCGAATGGAGAAAAGTAAATTGATGGAAAATCTAGTGTTGGTTTGCAATGTAATTTTAAAGTAATTGCAAAGGTGTGAGATTTGTTGGGTTGCAGTCTGCAGTGCTGTAGAGTAGTGAAAACCAGCACTTTTTATAACACTGTTCAAAATTTAACTTACTCATTTATATTGTAGAGGTGAAATATTTATAAATTTAATTTTCATCAGAATCTCAGTGTTTGGCACATTAATGATTTGTTTGAATTGAATATCAAAAAGTATACTTTCTGTTTTGAAGTATATGCAGAAATATTGTGCTGTTTATTATCAATTTAAAATGAATACAGCACATGTGATCCGGTTTCTTTTTCTTGATCATTGGAAAGACGTATTTGTATTATATATATATGTATATATATAGTAGGGAAAATTTTGATAAATTAAGGAACGTGTTCAAAAAAAAAAAAAGACAAAACAACAAAAAATTTCTATACAGGAAAGTATCATTCATTGTTATATTCTTTGAAATCAATTAAAGTAAGCAAGATTGATTCGAAATATATGTGCAGAGAGGATATGGCAAGTATAGAACTTCTCTACTTAGTTAAATCTATTAAAAGAATTTTTCGTTTTGAATAGATAGAAGTAGTTATTTTTATTTTTTTTTTTTTTTACTATAACAATATTAATTAACTAACAGTTCATGAGGAAAAATTTTTATGAAAATTTTTTGGTATACAAAGAGTGGATTTATTATTTCTAATTTCAGAGAAAAATTTCCAAAAATGACAAATTATAATTTTTTTTTTGAAATAAATTTGA